CATGGACGTGGAGATGGCATCTTCGAGATCCACCGACACCTACGTCGACGCAGTTCCCCCACCTAAGGTGAACTTACTCGATGGCAAGTGGCCCTTCAAGATGAAGCACCCTTTTGGAGAGCCACCGGTGTTCAAGGCGCTACATGGCTAGAGGCTTCAGTCAGCGCGAGGGTGTTGATTTCTTTCTGACCTTTGCCCGACCCCAAAGATGACCACTCTTCTGGCGCTCGTACACACAGCAATAGAACTGCACTCCTTCGACTTCTCTACGGCGTTTCTTCATGGCAGTCGGCTCGAGCAAATTTACCTGCGCATCCGCCCGGCTTCACGGGCACCTTCGCCCCTGGGACCCAGTGGCTCCTTCGGCACCCGGTCTACGGCCTGAGGCAGGCACCCCGTGAGTGGTAATACACGCTGCGTGCTACGTTAGCTGAGCTGCAGTTCTTCCCGTCGTCTGCAGACGCCTCTCTCTTCGTTCGTTCAGACCAGACCCCCGTTCTACATTCTTCTCTACATAGACGACCTCGTCTTCGCTAACGCACTAACCTCCATGAAGGTTGAGCTGCTGAGGAGACACACCTGCACTGACCTAGGAGAGCTGCGCCACTACCTTGGCCTGCAGATCTCCAACGATAGTGCAGCGCGCACGATCACTAGTCTTACTTGGTGCGCCAGGTCCTTCAGAGGTTCGTCCTTCAGTTCTCCTCCGCACAGCCCACACCTTTGCCAGTAGATTACAGGCTCTTGGCTCCATTCCCTGAGGAGTCAGTAGAGCCTAGTGGTCCTTACGTAGAGCTGGTGGGTTGCCTCATGTACCTGATGACTTGCACTCGTCTAGATCTCGCATATCCTCTCAGCATCCTGGCTCGCCTTATGGCCACAACCAAACACCGACCACAGAACTGGTCGGCAGCTATGACGGATTTGCGTTATCTAGCAAGTACATCGGCTATGGGGCTAGTGCTAGGAGGAAGTAGGCTAGTGGTCCTTACAGGGCATACAGACGCTTCATGCGCAGACGGCGCTGAGATGCTCAGGTCCTCCCAGGCTACTACTGTAACCTTGGTGCAGGCGCAATCTCGTGGTGGTCCACCCGCTCGTCGTCTTTTGCATAGTCTAGCTGTGAGGCTGAGATCTACGCCGGTGCCATAGCGGTAGTGGAGCTCCACTGGCTGACCTTCTTGGTCACAGACTTAGGTGAGCGGCCTAGCTCTGCCCCGGTCATGTACGCTGACAACAGGGCCATGATCCTCCTGTGTCAGGAGCCTCGGCTGGAGGGCAGAGCGAAGCACATCCAGCTGCGGTACCTCCTCCTATGCGAGCTACGGCAGCGCCAGGCCCGCATAGTTCACTTGGCCTCTGGTGCCAACACAGCTGATATCTTTACTAAGGCGTTTGCAAATAAAGATTATCAGCGACACTGTGTACAGCTTGGCCTAGTTCTTGTAGCTTCTTACTTGCTATGACATTAATCATTTACTACATCTTATATTATCTTGACTAGCCCTGTTGATCCTGCTCTAGTGGCTGGACGAGTAGTGCCGCGTTGTTGCTCGTGTTTCCTTTGTACACTTTCAGACTGGACTTCAGACCCTTGCCTTAGTGGTTGGACTAGTAGTGCCACCCTGAGCTGCGTGTCTCGTGCTAGTCGTTGCCCGTTGTCTAGCCTAGGGGGTGTGTCAATTTATATTTGTACATGTTATAGGCTAGATAGGTGCATGCTCATAGAGTATACAACACTTGGGACAAAACCACATTGTATTAGTCATTCTAGCCGTTTGTGAACTGAAAGATAGCGTGTATACCGGGAATTGAACCGTGGATCGCTTTGATACCATCTCATTAAATCACCAGTCCTAACCATTAGGACATAAAGGGATGTCCTCATGAGAGTTAGGCTCCATATATCCACATTCCCCTGGGAAAGCCTCCCTAGTACCCTTCCTAGAGAGAGAAGAGGTTCGACAGGGCTATCCCAGTGCCACGACACGTGCGCCCACAACCCCTCAAGCTCTGCACCTTTGGCCCTTCCCCGAGGATCTTCTCAAGGGCAACCCCAGCAGGTCTCTCGACACCATTTGCTGAACACTACGTGCCGCTAGGCTTCTTGCATTAAAATATTGTTGGAAGTTATCAAACCGTCACTAGATCTGGGGCTTGTACTACATTAGTTTAAATTGCTTGAACAATGTCTATTGTAAACAATATATGGTGTTACCTCTGGATGGAAACAACACGATGGTCGGATGGCAAATGATTTTGATAATTAATTCAAGACTGAACATGCAATTATCTGATTAGAATGTGGCTTCAAATTGCCTTCATGGCACTAACAAAGGAAATCAATGCAGCACTGAATTTTTAGCCCTGGTTTCATTACGACAATACTTTGTTTGGCAAAAGGGGAAGTACTTAATTCATGTCAGCTATCAGGTGTACCAAGCTACAGAACAGCCTGTTGGTTTGGTACTTATCCTGAGCCGCGGGAGTACCCCCGACGAATCAGGCTTGGCGGGGGCGCAGTGTTTTGGGGTTCTGCCGTGCAGCTGCGGCGCAATCCACCTCCGCCGTTAGCGGTTAGTTGGGTTTGGTGGTGGCGAACTACCATCAAAACTCCGACGTGTGAAGCAACATTTCCCCCACTTCACCCCACCTTCCCCTCTGGCACTCGGTCCTCCCCCATTCTTGCTTGTTGGTCTTCCAAATCCCCACATTTCGGGTAGCCATTTCAGTTCCTTACTCCAAGCACAGCCCAACATTCCTGGACAGAACCTTGATCCGACGCCATGGTTAGTGCATCTCCTACTTGTTGGCTGCATTCGCCGTTTTCTGCCTTCGCGAAATTTGTGACTAACGGCTTTGTTAATGGCTCGTTGTACAGGCGAACGCTCGCTCTGGTATGGCGGTGTCAAAAGAGTGCCTGGATAAGTTTCACGATCTTCAGAAGTCCCGTACTTACCGCTTCATTACCTACAAGATTGAGAAGGACGAGATCGTAGTGGACACTTTTGGAGAACCCAGCAAGACCTACGCTGACTTCTCAGCCGCTCTTCCCGAGAAAGACTGTCGCTATGCGGTTTTCGACTACGAGTTTGTTACAGACGACAACTGCCACAAGAGCAAGATTTTCTTCATCGCTTGGTAAACCCTTTTCGATGTTGAGGTCTATCACATTCTCGCGGAGTGTCATCTGCTTCTGGTCCTTATTTCTGATCGTTTTTTTGTTTCTCGTCACAGGTCTCCTGACACATCACCTATTAAGAACAAGATGATTTACGCCAGCTCGAAGGATACATTCCGCCAGCAGCTTTCTGGTGTGCAAATTGAGCTTCAGGCAACTGATGCGTCTGAAATGGACATTTCCATTATCAAGGATAAAGCCTCGAGGTGAAATTTATCGGCGGTCTAGATCGCCTAGGACTAGCATTTTCTTGCCCTCCTGTTTGCACTGAGCGATTTCTCTCCTAGACTTGGCTTAGACCGTGGTGGACCTGTCTTGGTTTCAGAAATGTTATTGGTATATTTTAATGTTGTGGAAGTTGAGTTCACGTAGTAGCTAGCCGAGTATATGGCATGAGGTGACAGTGATGTGTTTCACTGAAAACCTGAGGCAAAACGGAAACCATGCTTATTGTGATTTCGCTCAGGGTTTACACGCATTTTGGACACACAACTCTACCTTTCCCTCCACAGCAAGAACATCCACTTTTCTGCTCCGACACTACAGATGTCCCATGTGGAAGAGGCTTGGGTGGCTCCAGTGACGGAGTTCCTAAAGCTGGCAGCTGAAACATGCTTGCTTGCTTGTTGCACTTGGTGCACGGCAAAAAGCCAACTCCCCCACATTCCTCGCAGATGCAAAGATTCCTGAAATGTTGAAGCACACAAGAGTTGACGTAGGTATGCTGTCCCGAGGGAGAAACCCATGCAGAAAAGCCCAAACATGAAAGCTTAAAAAGAAAAACTACCAGTAAAGGGTAATGTGTATGCATTGTGCAGCCACAGGGTGAGCTTAGGAGGTTGCACCATTCGGTAAAACGTAGACAATCACCTCACGCCTTTCGCCTTCACTCACATGTCAAGTCTTTTGCCTTTCGTCTGAAAATTAAAATCTCAACCCCAAGCATTCTCACCGCCGTTGAGCGCGGGCAATCCACTGGTCGACGCGTGGCGCGCTAGCCGCACACGCGATGATGGCGGCACCGAAGACGAGCCCCGCGATCTCGCTCTCCGTAAACGGCTGCAGCCACAGCAGCGTCGCCCCTATATCCGCCAAGCGTGATATGTCCACAGCGAAGTTGTCTGGCTGGAGAGAGGCTACGTGTCCGTGCAGGGACAGGGAGTCCGCCACGCCTGGACTAACGGCTTCAAGGTGAGCCGGTAGGTCTAGATGGAGCGAAGGCGGAGCTGGTAACGATGCGGCTGACGAGAGCAGCGACTTGAGAGGAGGAGCGAGAGACATCGCACGTGATGCAGGCGGCAAGGCGTGCGATAGAAGAGTTGTCGCGGGGAAGGACGGCGAGAATCGCCATTGCTGCAGTGCTCGCACAGGCACCTGGCAGGTGCACACAGCGTGCGCGGGTGATGATGGAAGATGGACGGTCGAGATAGTCTAGGTCAGTGAGTCCTCAGGAGGAGCTGATGAGGGGGAGAGGAAAAAGGGAATTTTCATGGGTACAGTCCAATAATCAAAATCTGCTCAAGGTGTAGGTCGAAATTTTTGGACGGAGAAACGAGTCCAGCTGACCTCAGTAACGCGTACCAAAAGCCCTCCAACCCTTCATATCGTGGAACCCCCCACTCCATCTGATACCCCACCCCAATTCTTCCACCAGTCCTGTGGGATTTCCTGTCAGAATTTCTCACACCATCCCTCAATCGAAGGGTTGCCCATGCTTCAGCCTGGCGTCGCGGTGCTACGGCAGCACCAGCTTCCTAACGTCGCATCCGCCGTCAGCAGCGCCATGAGTGTCGTCAGCAGCGCGAGGGGTGTCGTCAGCACCGTCTCCCGTCGCACCCTCAGATCTCCTGCTCGCCGATCGTTTGTCTCCGTGCCTGCTCGCACTGCTCGCGCACCCGTGACCGCGATGGCCACTGCTCGTTCCTCCTGTTCCCTGCGAAGCGAACCGCAACTAGCCCACGCGAACCAGCGGCAAAGGGGAACGGTACGCAAACAAGCGATGCGCGAATCGCGGCGACCAAGACCATGTGTAGTTAAAGCGGCTGGCGAGCAGGAAAGCGGGAGCGGTGGCATGACGAGAGGAGGGGAGACGAGTGGAGTAATAACCGAGGCCCGGGAGGGGTTGGGGCGGAAGGAGGGCTGCCAGCTGTTGGCTCGGGACGGCGAAGCAGGCGCCGAAGCAGAGCCGGAGGTTCGGATGATACCGGTTCGGGGAAAGAGGAACGGCGAGGAGCAGGGAATCCGGGCAAGGAGGGAAGCGCTGGCCGGCGAAAGTGGCTGCCGAAGGAGCCTGAAGCCGTGCGAGAGGTGAAGGCTGATGATCGAACGGCTGTGAGACAACAGGAAAAGACGGATCAACGGTCAGGATGGAAGGCTGCTCAAGAGCCGCTCGAGCCTGCGACACTTGGCGAAAATGATGCGGAATTTGGGGAAAGAGGCGGAAGCGGAAGTGGAGAGGCCGAGAGGGAGACACCAGATGCAGCTGAATATAGGCGCATGGAGCGAAGCTTCGGAGAAAGAGCGCAGGAGATGGATCCGGAGGAGATTAGGCTGGCGAGGCAGCGGGTGGCCGATCTGATTAGAGCAGGGGATGACGTGGAACAGGTGAGGGATGACGTGGCACAGTCTTCAATATCTCGTTCAGTATTACAGAAAGGTTTACCCAACATCTTGAAGCTGGTAAGGACAATTCCAGTCAACCGCACCAGCCGTTTCCCCCCTCTTGTCGGGGACCCTGGGTTCGTGCGTGCAGGAGATCGTGCGCATGGGCAGGGAGGGCTTTTTGACCGACACCCTCATCCTCGTCATTCAGAACCGACTCAACTTCGCCCGGCACGACGTGAGTGGTGCCGTGGGGGGGACGTGGATGGATGTGTGCTGGCGGCAACGAGTCGGAGAAAATAATAGCATCATTCAACAGCAAGTGCCATTCAACAGCACGTGCCTGCCATTTGTGTTGAGCTAACCCTCGCGCTTCCGCCTGTCGTCACCTCATTGTGGATTCTTCACCTTTGCTTTCGTCACCTCTCCTCGTTCCGTCTGTGTTGCGTCCTGTGCTGCTGATGCGAGCAGAACGAGCGCCACGTGGTGCAATGCCTCGACCTCTTGCTGCGCCGCATCGAGGTCAGCCTCTCCCCCTGCCCCCCTGCTCCTCAGACCTTTTGCTCCCCTGCTCCTCAGACCTTTGCTCCCCTGCTCCTCAGACCTTTTGCTCCCCCTGCTCCTCAGACCTTTGCTCCCCTGCTCCTCAGACCTTTGCTCCCCTGCTCCTCAGACCTTTGCTCCCCTGCTCCTCAGACCTTTGCTCCCCTGCTCCTCAGACCTTTGCTCCCCTGCTCCCAGACCTTTGCTCCCCTGCTCCTCAGACCTTTGCTCCCCTGCTCTCAGACCTTTGCTCCCCTGCTCCTCAGACCTTTGCTCCCCTGCTCCTCAGACCTTTGCTCCCCTGCTCCTCAGACCTTTGCTCCCCTGCTCCTCAGACCTTTGCTCCCCTGCTCCTCAGACCTTTGCTCCCCTGCTCCTCAGACCTTTGCTCCCCTGCTCCTCAGACCTTTCCCCGCTCCCCCTTGTCCCTGCTCCTCAGACCTTTGCTCCCCTGCTCCTCAGACCTTTGCTCCCCTGCTCCTCAGACCTTTTGCTCCCCTGCTCCTCAGACCTTTGCTCCCCTGCTCCTCAGACCTTTGCTCCCCTGCTCCTCAGACCTTTGCTCCCCTGCTCCTCAGACCTTTGCTCCCCTGCTCCTCAGACCTTTGCTCCCCTGCTCCTCAGACCTTTGCTCCCCTGCTCCTCAGACCTTTGCTCCCCTGCTCCTCAGACCTTTTGCTCCCTGCTCCTCAGACCTTTGCTCCCCTGCTCCTCAGACCTTTGCTCCCCTGCTCCTCAGACCTTTGCTCCCCTGCTCCTCAGACCTTTGCTCCCCTGCTCCTCAGACCTTTGCTCCCCTGCTCCTCAGACCTTGCTCCCCTGCTCCTCAGACCTTTGCTCCCCTGCTCCTCAGACCTTTGCTCCCCTGCTCCTCAGACCTTTGCTCCCCTGCTCCTCAGACCTTTTGCTCCCCTGCTCCTCAGACCTTTGCTCCCCTGCTCCCAGACCTTTGCTCCCCTGCTCTCCAGCTCCACTGCTCTCCAGATCTCTTACCTATGCCATGCCATTCGATGCCATGTCTCCTACCCTGCTTGTCACCCATGCCATGCCATCCCCTGCCCTGATACTCCACCTCACCTCGCCCACCCTTAGTGAGAGAGAGGGGCACAGAAAGCCACATTCAAGACCGCTCGAAGCACAGGCACTGCATTGTCTCCGTATTGCACCTCTTCCTCTTCCTCCCCCAGGCAGAGAGAGAGGCACAAGAAGCCACGCCAGCCTTGCGACTCCTTAACACTCTCCTGCACCTTGCTGATGACCTCAGCGCTGACATCAGCAACATCAGGCTACGACCAATGGCAGCGCGAGGCGCGCGATGCGATGAGAGCGGTGTTTCTGCCGGAGGATCCTTTCACCGTGGCCATGCCCGTGGCCAATGGCATGGGTGCTCCAACTTGGGTACGTGGGTGGCATTATGGCTCTGTGAGCTACGTGAAAGACCTTCACATTGATTGTTTGTTTCAAAAGATACCTCTCCCTGCCATCGCTTTCCCTCCTCACGATTTTATACTCTTTTGCCTTTTCTTCCTTACCACTGCTCATTTGCATTGCACTTGCCTCGTTTCCTTTGTCCCTGTCAGAATGAAATGGACGCTAAGGCTGACTTGGGCTCAAGCATGGGTGGTGGTGAGAGCACTCTCCTTCGGATCGACTTTATTCGCGAGCTCGAGGAGCTTCTGGAAATCGTTGAAGCGGATGCTGCAGCTGCTGCTCAGGTTGTCGCTGAATCGTTGAACTTGTCACTTGACCCGCAACAAGTCGAAGCAGAGGGCAGTGCCGCCAATGTTGAGCAAGATGGGGGTCGTGGGGTGATTTAGATGCCGATAAAGTGGCGTTGAAACTGAGGCTGGAGGAGCGTCTGCGGATCATCAGTCGAGTTAGAGACCTCCAACACATAGCAGCCACTTTGAACTTGTAGAACTAACCATACTTAGCCTATATGGTATACTGGTGGTTTTCCTACAATTTAACCGAATATGTAAAATCGTTTATCTCGATAATCCAATGTGTGAGTTGTGTCGGTGCTCCACAGTGGCGGCATACTGTACAGATCCTCTATCCACCACTGTAGTGCCGTCCGTTGGTTCTGTACCCACTTCTCACATCTCGACTTGACTGGATCTTGGGAACGGCGAACTTGGTTTCCCCCACCTCCCACCGCTTTGCACCGTGCCACCTTGACCACTGTGCGAAGAGCAGGTGGTGGGGAAAGATTATCGCTCAGGCATGTGTGATTACCGTGACTGAATAATCAAGGATGAAAGCACAAATTTCTCTTCGTCAACAATCTTTCGCAAACGGCTGGAGGCTGCTCGCCACGCCAAATGTCCAGCTTTGATGGTGGGGGGTTGAGTGAGCGAATGAGGACCAAGTTGCTTGGCTTGGCAGCGGCACCCAGTTCTGTCTCCTCTGCTTCTCCCACTGGCGTTTGCCCGCTCCACACGAAAACTGTCATGGCTTCGTGTTTCGTCCTCGTTCTGTCAGTAGCGGAGAATGTCTTTACCAGGACCGACCACAGCACGTAACCAATCTGAGCTTGACAGTCGAGCCGCCAGTGGTATTACAGTAAAAAGAATGTATGACGGTTAGCCCTCTGAATTCTCGGATTTATGTTTGCGTAGTAGCCCGTTTCGCGTTTTTAACACGATTGTCGTCAGGCTCGTCGAGTTAGTAGTTCAGATACAACGATTCGCTATGGCCGACAAGCGGAAGAAGAAGTGTGCACTACCCACCGTCCCTCATTTCGTCATTGTCCTCCTCGCTATTAGTACACTAGAATATCCACCCTTCGCCAGCGCGTTCAACCGTGACACTTACTTCCAACATTCGCGCCAAGGCTGGGCCTCTGACAGCATCGGGAAGCTCGCGACTAATAGAGATAGCATCTCCGCGACACCTCATAGCAGCGAGGGCTTGACGTCGACTACCCGTAGCCATGGCGTGAGGCACGATCTGCTCGAGCGACCAGCGACGCTTGCTGTGTCAGGAGCGCCGCCTCGACGAACGCCGGTTACGCTCGACCCATCGCAGCGTGAGTGCTGACCTCGGTCTAGGAGTATCCCAATCGCCTGATCTAGGACCATCTGCGTCCCTCTTGATTCGCCCTTCGCCACAGACGCTCAGACGCCGCTACCCTTCGCTACAGACGCTCAGACGCCGCTACCCTTCGCTACAGATGCTCAGAAGCCCCTTCGATGAAGTGTTTGAGAAAGCCGTCGCGCTCTCATGATTGAACTCGAAACCTTCCAGTTCTCCGTCTGGCCATTGACCCTCTTCCCGTGCAGTGACCGCCCTGTTGGCTCTGAATGCCGCGTGGCGCCTGTGGCCGGTAACGGCGGAAGGTCGACGGCGTGCCAGCAGTGGGCCGGCGTCAAGTGCAACCTGCAGGCATGGTGACTGCGCTGTGAGTGCGCTGCATGGTTCCGTACTGAATACTCTGCTCATGAGTCGACTCAAAGGTGTGAGTGCGAGGCATGGTGACAGCGCTGTGAGTGCGAGGCATGGTGACAGCGCTGTGAGTGTGCGAGGCATGGTCACTGCGCTGTGACGGTGCAGCCTATTTCTATCCTCCTTTTATGCATTGCTGGATGTTTTGCCTCATACCCTCCCCACGCGTCTTTCTCATCTTTACGCCCCCTTCCTCTCTCCTGCGTTCTGCAGGGTGTGGGATGGGAGCATTGCGCCTACACCCATCGAAACACCCATTCCTGCCGCCATTGGCGCGTTCACTCGCTTTCCATACTGTGAGCCATAGCGAGGAGAAGTGCACTCAGAGTCAGCCCTTACACTGTCTCCTACCACCCTCTCTATACTGTCAGCCCTTACCACTGTCTCCTACCACCCTCTCTATACTGTCAGCCCTTACACTGTCTCCTACCACCCTCTCTATACTGTCAGCCCTTACACTGTCTCCTACCACCCTCTCTATACTGTCAGCCCTTACACTGTCTCCTACCACCCTCTCTATACTGTCAGCCCTTACACTGTCTCCTACCACCCTCTCTATACTGTCAGCCCTTACACTGTCTCCTACCGCCCTCTCTATACTGTGAGACCTTACACTGTCTCCTACCGCCCTCTCTATACTGTGAGACCTTACACTGTCTCCTAGCGCCCTCTCCATACTGTGAGCTTTAACAATGTCTCCTACCTACTGCCCTCGCCGTACTGTGAGCCTTTAGCGCGGAATGCAGAGAGAGTCAGGTTTAACACTGTCTCCTGCTGTCCGTCCGGTACTGGAATCCGTCGCACCAACCAAGTGCTCGTGCAGTCAACGTTAACACGGTGCTCACTCCGTGGCAATGGGCCCATAAATCCATCCATCCATCCATCCATCCATCCATCCATCCATCCATCCATACAGCCACTCTCACATACATAGAATGTGTGCATGCTTGTTTGAGTGTGTGGAGAGGGTGAGGTGAGGATTGAGGTGCGTGCATGCGTGCTGGGTGCATTGGTTTGTGCTGTGTGTCCTGTGTGCAATGTGCATCCGTGTGTGCAACGTGCATCCGTGTGTGCAACGTGCATCCCTGTGTGCAACGTGCATCCGTGTGTGCTTGCTGGATGGGGGGAGGAGGCTGGTGGGTCGGCGTGTGGTATCGATCTATCTATCTATCTATCTATCTATCTATCTATCTATCTATCTATCTATCTATCTATCTATCTATCTATCTATCTCTCTTCTCTCTCTCTCTCCCTCTCTCTCTCCTCCTCTCTCCTCTCTCTCCTCTCTCTCTCTCCTCTCTCTCCTCTCTCTCTTCTCTTCCCTCTCTCTCTCTTTCTCTCTCCTCCTCTCTCCTCTCTCTCTCTCTCTCTCAAGCGGTCCTTTTATTATGTTTATAAGGGGTACAGAGGTACAAAAACAGGGTTACGTATGTCCTGTGTCCCGAGCATCCTACTGCTGCCTGGGCCACCTGTCGCAGGTAGGTTCAATGGTGGCTTCCAGTTCTCCCCAGGTAAGAGGTTCGTCTAGGGGGCGGTCGTGGCTGAAAGCTTGGCCAGTCACCTGGCCAATCTTCGCGTGGAGGGTGATTGCCTGCTGCCGCTGGAGGGTGACTGACCACCTCTGGCGGTAGCTGTGCAACACCTTCTTTGCCACCGCCGACTTTTGGTCGGCTTGGTGGTTCCGGCGGGCTGAGAGGGCGGCCAGTACTCGGAGGAACTCGAGTGTGTCGGGGGAGCAGCAGCCGTATGTCTCAGTGGCAACTCCCAGCACCTTCACAAAGGTGAGTCGTTCGTCGTACAGGTCCCGCTTCTTGCCCTGCATCTCTGCCGCCATCCACCCCGTCCCTTTCCGTGCTATTGGGTCGCGGGTTGAGATGGGGTCGGTGACTGTGACATCACAGACCCATACCGCGCCTGAGTCCGGGCATCGGAGGGTGATGTCGGCGCGGCGTTGGGCAGTTTCGGGTAGGTAGAGCGTGGACTCCATGTGGGCCACGAAGTGGGATTCTCGGGCCAGTCGCATCCCGAGGTTCACGAGCGCGTCATGGGTCCGCTTTGGGCCCCCGCCCAGGGTGCATCGTAGCATGTGGTTGGGCAGCCGGTTGTCTGGTATCTCATGCTTGTCACGGCAGTTGCATTTGCCGGGTAGGGAGTGCTGCAGGCCCATGCGGAGAGCTAGGGCCGTGGCAAATTGCCCCTTGCTCATGCATAGGTCAGGGGAGAAGGGGATGGCGACCAGCCAGTCCCCTGCCCCTGGCCCGAGCAGGGAGAGGAGGCGCTGGGTGTGACCCAGGAGGGGGTTGAGTGGCATGTGTCTGGAGTCTGCCACTAGCCGTGCGTGCTTGGCCCCATGTACCTCCAGTGCTAGGGCGTGCTGGAGTTTGGCGCCAGGTTCTTCGCGCGGGCGGGTGAGTGTTGACTGCGCTGGTTCGGGGAGTGCCGCTTCCAGGCAGTTGAGCAGGTGGTGTAGGGGCGTTTGGGCGGTGAAGGGCGGAGTGAGGAGGTGGAGGAGGTCGGCGAGGGGTGAGGAGTCACGGGGTTCCATGGAGCGGAGGAGGTCACCGGCCTGTAGTGCGGAGGCCAGGTAGCTGTAGCTGCCTTCCGTGGCGGGGTCGATGAGGCAAAGGCCTCCTATGGTGATCGGCAGGGTCGCTTGTCGCCAGAGGAGGTCTCGGCCTTCGGTGTCCCGTGGCTGCTGGAGCTCGCACGACTTGAGCGCTGCTTCCAGCAGGGACTTCCCCCACTGCGTCCATTCCTCGGGGGGGAGGAGGTTGGTGGGGGTGGTGCAGAGGAGGTAGGATGCCCTCCTCGTGATGCAGCGGGTGAGGAGGAGCAGCGCGACTTGCGGGTGCAGCTGCTTTACCAGGGGGAGCGCCGCTGCCGCTTTCTCGAGTGTGCGGCGGATGATGTCCCCGCATCCGTGGGTGGTGCCGATGGGGCTGCCCAGGACCTTGATTGCGTCGTGGGTGAGCGGTACTCCGGCCGGGATGAGTGCGGGGTCCACCGGTGTGGGCGCCCAGGCCGCGCACTTGCTGGCGTTGCAGGTGAGTCCTACCGCTGCTGCCCGACCTGTGAGGGTGTAGAAGGTGGCTGCGCATGCCGGCGGCGGGCCGATGATGGTCACGTCGTCGGCGTATGCCAGTATGAGGACGTCAGGGTATTCCTCTGCTGTCGTGGTCAGCGCCTGGTGGAGGGCGAGGGCGAACAGCATGGGGCCTAGCGGGTCGCCTTGCCGTACGCCCCGCTCGCTGATGAGCGGATCGGCACCGAACGCGTGGTCGAGCAGCAGGCTCGATGGCCGTCCATAGGAGAGGCGGGTTAGGGGTAGCAGCCCTTTGAGAGGGCTATCGCGTAGGGCGTGGAAGAAGGCGATGCGTTCGACTGAGTTGAACGCGTTGGAGAAGTCCACCTGGAGGAGGAGGTGTTCGGGGTGCCGTTCGAGGTGGGTTCTTGTTGCATGCACCGCCGTCTCGCCCCCTCCCTTCATCGCCACTCCAAACTGCAGGGGCGCGAAGTGAGCTTGGGCCAGGGT